GTACTAATGTGAAATAAAATAACACTTAACCTCCCTACTATTTCTTACATTTGAAAGTTACAGCTGATTTGGCTATGCCAGTAATATGTAGCAATGCCCTTTGTTAAAATACACTTGTTAAGTACACTTTATTGAAGCATTGAAGGTGTGTGTCAGAAGTGTTTCAATCACATATAATACATAGGCATAACACCGTAACTCCAGCACGGTAAACAGTAACTTCACTTTGGTGCTTGGCAAAACAAAGGCAGAGTACCGTAACTTAATTCGCGCATTCTAGAGTGCCGCCAAACAAAAGCAAAGAACCGCAACTTACGGGCGTTAACGTTACAGGCTTCTGCCTTGGCTTTCCCTCGGCTTTTGGAAGTTACGGCAAAAACAACATCCTATTTTTTCCAAAAAACAACAAAATTGACTCAAGATATTTGTCCACATGATAAAACTGATGTTTATTGTTCCAAAAATGACAATAACTCATTTTCGCCAAAATTGAAGTTAAGGCCTTTTGCCTTTGCACGGCAGTGTATTTATCTTTTCTTATTTTCTTCCTATTTTCTGTGTCCAGGACATTTGTGGGCGTGTCCCCCCCCCAGCGCTCAGGTGAGGATGGGGCTTTATAAAAAATTAGCGACCAGAGACATAGCGTGTAATGTCAGACCAGAGTGACAGAGTAAAACGATGAGCTGCTGCACTGATGCTTTTGTCCGCCCATATTTCATGGAATTAACAGAAAAGTTTTCAACTTAAGAAACATTTTAATTTTGGTTATGTTGGGGTTTTTGTACTTTTTTTCAAGTTTATTATGGCAGGAACTGAGCACAACAAATAAATACTGCAGCAACATAATTTCCATCTGTAGTTCTACTTTAGGCTGAATGTTTCAGCAAAGCGTCCAACGCAGTCCGTCCATTAAAGTATAAGCATGTACCCTGTGCGTGTCCTCCACCATATGCATCTAGAGACGTTCAGTATAAACACACACACACACAACACCATCTGGTACAAAATGTGCGAATGCTAAAAGTGAATCAAGAAAACTATAGAAGATATTACACACATTAAGGGATTTTCTATCATTCCAAAAACTTAAGTCACAATATAATCAAACTCTATACATTTCTAAATACTAAACTCCACACTTACTTTCTAACAGACAGCACATGATTTTAACAAGTACGTGTTCACATGAAGCTATCATGTATTTATTCAGCTGACATGCAGCATGTTGTATCAAGAAGACAGTGTGATAAAGCTCACGTATAAAAAGTGACTGACTGACCTTTGTCCTGAGCAGACGACACAAACAAAGTCACCAACAACAGCACCGCAGGTCCAGGTAGCCACATCATGCTCCAACATGCACACTTAGGTGGAAGGTCACGCTAAAGATGAACACGAGGACAACAGCTCGACTTAAAATGGCAGAGGCAGAATGAAAGTGTCCTCACTCTCACTCAGTGATTTCACTCGGAGCTGCACGAGCTGCACTGTGTGAGCATGTGTGCTGATGTGTGGGCGGAGATGCATCTCTGAGCTCAGCAGTGTTTCCATTCTCTGTGACCACCACAGACAACACTGTGATCTTTTATAGCTTTTCTTTTCATTCAGGTTTTTGCACTGCATCATATCATTTTTATGTCACTTTGAATGCAGCGTTCTGTTTCACTGATCGGTCTATAACAAATCAAGCAGTTATCACCCGTCACAGGCAGCCTGGTCTCACGATGAATGCATCAAATACCAGCGTGTGGGCAGTGACTTCCAGCGTCAGACACCAACAAAAAAAGCCATCTTTTCACGTTGGTGTGATACACAGCCGATTGCTGTTATTCTGTAACAGTGCCCGCGGGTGTCGGAGGGAAACGTGGCAGGACATCAACGAAAGTTAAGGGGGCGAAAGTCCTAGTGGGGCGAGTGGGAAGGGTGGTGGAGGGGTCCAACAACCACTGACTTTCACCCAGGAGGCTGATGTTGGCTTCCTGCATGATTGTAAAGCCAAACCCTGTTCTTTTTCCCTAAACCCAACCACGTGTGTGTGTGTGTGTGTGTGTGTGTGTGTGTGTGTGTGTGTGTTGTTGAAGGAAAAAAACGTCAGTTGGTGTTGTATTGGCGTAGTGCTTTTATTTTGAAAGAGACTGTATGCAAACTGTACATTTCCTGTGAAAACAGAAGTGTATTTTGAAAACAGACAATGCATGTAACAGGCTGAAGTTGACACGGCGTCCCAGAACGTCAACAACCAACACACCCAGGGTACCTTGGACGTCATATGTGGACGTGGAAAGTCCATGACCAAACGTGGACATGTGACAAGGTCACAGTGAGGACGTGTTGTCAAAGGACATCTAAGAAATCTTGGCGCGGCACACCAAAACACCAGCTGTACCTGAATTTCAGGAATTCCCTCATTCTGTTGTCTGTAGACGAGTTAAATCTATGTCAAAGGGACCGCTTTGAAAATGGCCATGCTGCCACATTGCTGCAGAAATGTCCTTGAATGTCCTATTTTTGTCAGAGTCACAACCTCAGAGACAGAGTATTTGTTATTTCACCATGATGGCTCCTCACCAGCATCAACAGTGATTGAACCACTTCCTCATATTGTAGAGGATAGTCAGGGACAAGAAGACATAGAAGTGGATTTGCTGACACCTGTTGACCTGTTGCTGTACTGATGTTTGTGCAGACTGTCCTCCAGAATAACGAATTTGGTTGCATTCACACAAGTGATAAAACTGAGTGCCTCCATGAGTTTTACATTTAGGACAATGTGGTGAAATAGTTTTTGGCCCCGATCACACAGAAAGTGTTTTGCAGGTTGAAAAATGCGAGACGCACCGCACTGCCTTTTTTTTTTTTTTTTTTTAACAGAATAAATGCCACTAGTAAAAAAAAAAACAAAAACACTTGCTTCCTTTTTAATGTTGCCACCCCATCACCTCCTTACCTTATGGTGCGTTCATTTGTACTCGGAGGTCGGAAGTCAGAAGTGGGAATGACGTCACCTCCAAATTGACAACAGTTTTTGCATTCTAGTTGACAACGGTGGACAAGTCGGAAAAAAACATGGACGCCTGCAAGCCTTTGTTGCCCTTGCGCTTTCAGAGTATAGACAGCTTCAAAACCAACATGCACTCCAACTGATGAAAGCAGCAGATGAGGATGACCTAATGTAAAACAAATAAGATAAAATTGCTATAAACAGTACTTTAACAGAGTGTTTACTCACTATGTATGTGACAGGCAGCCATCTTGAATTCGTAAGTCGGGGTTGACGCGGTTGCTCCGAGTTTCCGAGTTGGAAATCCGACCTCAGGGTGCGTTCAAGTTTAAACTTCCAACCGGGACCTGTGAATTTCCGACCTCCGAGTACAAACGAACGCACCAATAACCTTCACCTGTAATCAAACTACTGTTTATTATTGTATGTATCCTGCAGTAATCAGTGTGTAGCTGCTGCCATGTTGAGGCAGAGGGTGCTGTCTGTAGCTCTGGTTGAGGGTGAGAGGCTGTCAGCAGATAAACAGAGATCTGTGTGGGTACATGAGACCCTAAAAAAGAGGCTGGATCATGGGGAGTACCACCAGTTGGTCCAGGAGCTTCTCCTCCATCATGGACGTTTACAGTACTGCACTTATCTGCTGTTTTCTATTCAGATGGTGCTAACTGTGCTTTGTAAAGTCGTATAGCTCTGGGTATCCAGCAACCACTACCACCAGTTTCTCCTCCATTGTTTACCAACTGTAAACTGGTTGTCATGACCACCACAGAAGCCCCGCCTGTCAGATCGTCCCATTGGACAGTGGGAAATGGGGAGGTGCGTAGCAACACAAAAACAGCGAGCAAAAAGTTTCATTCTCGTTAAAAGTATGAAAGTATTAAAAATATTTATTGCAAGTTGAGAATCTGGAAGGAATCCACAGGATCTCTTGCCACACATCATTATATATTAGAAGTTGCTGTAAGTGACGTTTTTTATACTGCTGGGGCGGCACAATGATTCCATAACAAACTTTACAGCTTATATTGAAACAGACTTTACAACAAGACATGGTGTCTGTTTTCATTTTTATGCTGATGACACACACATGTACCTGCCCGTTAGATCCACAGACGCTGGAATGATGTGTTCACTCATTAACTGCCTCACTGATGTTACGAGCTGAATGTCATAAAACTTTCTTCAGCTGAACTCAGACAAAGCTGAGGTTGTTGTCGTCAGGCTGCAGCACGTTACTAAACAAATTCTGCCTTTGGCTGAATTTCAAACCTGTTGTGAGAAATCTCAGAGTCTGGTCTGACAGTAATTGAAGTTTTGAGCAGCACGTCACAAAGCTCGCACAATAATGCTTTTATCATCGTAGGCATATTTCAAAGCTACGATCCAGTTTAACTTTTAAAGACACAAAGATGATTTTACACGCCTTCATCTCTTCACGCCTGGATCACTGCAACAGCCTCTTTTCCTGTCTGAATTACAAATCTATTAATCGACTCCAAACTGTTCAGAATTCAGCTGCCAGAGACGTGATCACATGACTCCAGTTTTGGCCTCTTCACACCGGCTCACTGTGTTTTGGAAAAAAAATTAAGATTTTACTGAGTACCTTTAAGGCTCTTCGTGGTCTCTCCTCCAGCTACATATCTGACCTCTCAGTACCGTACACATCAGGACGAACTCTGAGGTCCTCGGGCAGCAGAGGTCTTTTGTCTGTTCCACAGGCTGAAAACTAAAGGGGACAGAGCGTTTGCTGTCAGGGCCCCGAAGCTCTGGAACAATCTGCCAAAGGAAATCAGGTCAGTTGAGTCAGTGATCTCTTGTTCCCTTAGTCCCTTCTTAAAACAGACTTTTATCAGAGAGCCTTAACTCATATTACCTGAGTCTTTTATTTCCTCAATTTTTAAAAACTTATATATTTATCAGTTCTTTTAAAAGTTGTTCTCATGTTTTATCTGTTTTAGTTAATGACATGTAAAACACTTTGTGAATCTGTTTTGAAAAGCATTTTATACATAAAGATAATAACTATTATTATTATAACAATTAGCCGTGGCTTCGCTTCAGCAAACAAAGTGATCAGTGACAAAACTGTGTTCTCTCTTTCCTGTGATTTCCACCTGATGATGTTAATTTCAGAGTTCTGCTTTTTCAATCCTCTGTGTCACAAACACAACAGCTCATTACTTCCTGTGTGTCAGAAGACTTTCTGAGGGCTGAGCTTCATGTTTGGATCAAGTTAAGCCACCAATGTTATAATAATTAGAGCCGTAGAGTTTCCTGCAGGACAATCGTGTCTGCGTTCATCATTGTGTCTGTTCACAGAGAGAATCTGTATTTTTTCACCACTTTGAATTGTGTTGTTATTCGGTTGCTGCCACAACATTAACTGTCCCTTCTGTTTTAATCTGTGGTTTTGTGACACAACTGGTTGTGACATTGGCAGTGATGGATTAATCTCCACACACCCACAGCAGAGGCAGCTGGTGGATAAATACAGGTAACGCTGTAGGACAGCAGATCACTATCTAACAGATGGTTAACCAGGATCACTGTCAGAAGAATAAACATGGCAGACTACGTCAATGAACCAACCGATCAGCAGAGGAAGAGTCCAGAGAGGAGAGGATGCTGTCACTCAGGTCAGATCTTTATTTTTGACTTGTGAGGTTTTATTGTTTCCTTCGGTTTCACTTGCAGCCTCTGACCCTTTCAGTTGAATAAGTGTTTCACTCACATATAATATTTAGTTTTTAAAACTTTTTTTTATGTACATACACCTGACGGGAAGGTTTTACTGTTTGTGGCATCTCTTCTGTTTCTATCCAGTTATGTGTTTTTATGGGTTTAGTTTTTGAAGCACTTTGAGATACAGCTCTATGAAATCTGCCTATAAGCATTTTTCTCTTTTTAAAGCTGGAGTTTTGGACTTTGACTTTGAACGTCTGTTACATTCAAGCCCTCACCAAACGAGATCACACAATGACAATTCAACCTGTCGCCACTAGGGAAAGATCTCCCCAAAGCTTTGTTACCACCAAGCAGTCGGCTTCAGTTCAGTTCACATTAGAACGCTTGTTTTTCTGTTCCCACAGTGTAAAGTTGTGGATGGTCCCAACAGAAGCGTTCCTTAGCGTCCCCATGTTTGGTCCCCCCTCTGTTGGGGTACCTAGCACACAGATCTGGTACTAAAAGGTGGAGCTAGAAACCCTGCAGTCTGATTGGTCAGTAGAGGACACTCACTCTGGTTTTATGTAACCTCTGTTCATACATCAGTAAACTACAACTATAAAATGAAAGAGAAAAAAATAACTTCATTCACTGGGCCGACTGCCAGCAACTTTTAAGGTGGAACGTTAACTTGTAATGTTACTCAATGCATGAGTTGATGACGTGAATCCATCAGCACACCTTAAATTTCACTGTGACAACTTTGACCATCACTTTAGTTTTTATATGACACACACTTTTAGTAATGACTTTAAAAATATAGATTAATTTGGAGCGGATTATGTGAAGGTCATATATTCTAATCCTCACTTCCTGTGGGCTACAGCAACACTAAACCCCTGAGCTTGCCTGAGAAGGACTAAATGCACAAAGCTGCTATTTTTAAATATCCCATGGAGAGAGACTCTCACTGCAGCCTGTTCTATTTTGTTGTGAAAATGTGGGCGTGCAGCCTCGTTCTGTGGACGATAAACCAGGTGCAGACTTCCATCTGTGTCACCGCTGATGAGGAAATACAGCGAGTGCTGGACGGAGCAGTGAGTGACAACAACCCCGCCCACATTTAAGAGGACTGTCTGAACACACCGAGGGTCTAGGTACCATGTCTGAAGGCTTACTGCTGGTTCCACAGGGACTGGACTGAAAGGGTTTGGTGGAAACTGGGCCTTATATGTAGGCAAGATTGTTACCATTCCGTTCTCTTCTTAACTTGTCACATATCACAGCTTCGTCAGTGCCGTTCATGTCTACGTATTACACGCTGGGTATCCTCCTGCGCTTTTATTGACATTCCAGGACGGTGCATCAGTTTATGCCAAGTAACACAAGCACATGATTAGGTTTAGAAAAAAACAAAATGGTTTGGCTCTACATTCGTGTAGGAAGCGAAACCATCCACCGCTGCTCCCACCCAACCTACAGGGACTTCACAGCCCTTCATATTAAGTTGTTACCAGCAGCGTTTCCAACTGACTCAGTCCAGCAGTGAATCATACTGGTGTTACAAACTGACACCACCCGACGGTGTGTCATACTGCTGTGAGAGGTGGCTTTTGGTGTCAGTGTTTGACGCCGACGTCACTGACAAAGCGGCAGCATTTGACGACTTCAGAATAAGAAAGGGCTGGAGAGACCATTGTGACGAAGCAGAAAAAATACCTCCATCACTTTGTGCAAAAGTTGTGCACTGCAGGTTTAAGCACTCGGATGCTTTGAAGGGTCAGTGTGGCTGTACCGTCATTTTATTTAGTCACGTGTCCAACTTGTGTGTGTTTTGTCCCGTAGGTGAATCAAAAATCTTCTTGGTGGTTGGAGTCAGCTTTGGCCTGCTGTGCATCGTACAGGCAGCTCTCAATATTTCTCTTCGGCTCCAAGGAAGTGAGTGTCAGCCTGCAAAGCAAAAGAGAAGTAAAATAGCAGATTTCATAAACCAAAGCCTCTGCACAGCTGATGAAATCCCACTGAGAAGCTTTGAGTCCAGGAAATATTACCTTAAACTGTTTCAGTGTCACTGCAGGCAACAAGCAGGACATGATGTACGAGTCTCTGCTTCTCTACGGAAGTTTTGTGAAACCTGGCTGTGACGGTGAAGCAACAGCCACTTCTGTGTGTGTGTCATAAATGTTTGGCAAAACACAGCATTGCTGATTCACAGGACCTGATTTCTTTCTTCCTTCCTCAGTGCAGAGTTTTTAATGTAGGTGTGAACTCCAACCTAAAAAGGGGGATGTCTTTCTTCTTCTTACTAGCTGGGTCTGACCACATCAACTCTACCAACATCACCATGATGTCATCTGCTGAAATCAGCAACCTGCTTCGAGATAGAGACCTGCTGATAAGGGAAAACACAATGTTGTATGCCAATGAGAAATGGTTAGAGAGGCACCTCAGCGAACAGCAAAATCAGATCAAGGAGCTTCAGGCTGAAATAAAAAGACTCTCTGAGATGGGTGAGGTTTTTTTTCTAAATATAAAGTTCATAGCTTCTTCAGAGCTGACAACTTCTTTTTAGAGACAACATTTGTTAATTTCTCACCTTGAAGTGTGACAGTGTGCACACATTATTTCCATTTTCTTCCAAGAATCTTCTCCCACCTCATCTTCTCTCCTGTCTGTTTGTCCTGTTTCCGAACAGGATCCCAACACAGTCATTGTCCCCGAGGGTGGAAGTTCCACATGTCCAGCTGTTACCGCCTTTCCACTGAGCTAAAGAACTGGAGAGATGCCAAAGAGGACTGTGGGAGAAACGGAGCTGATCTTGTGGTTTTAAATGATGACTCGGAAGCGGTATTTATGTTTTTTTTTTCTCAAATCCATTTCCACTTAATTTTCCTGTGTTCATCCAGGCAGTGTTTTAACTGTGTAAATGTAGTCTTATCCATCCTATGAACTGTACAGGGTGACCGCATTGACCACCTTTAGATAAATCAAAATCAAATCTATATGTCAAATTCTTCCCAACAGGAAATTCTTCTTAAGTTTGGAAGTGCTGTCATGTGGATCGGCCTGAGGGCTAGACGCTGGCCTCAGGATATGTGGATGTGGGAGGATGGACGCTTGCTGACTTTAGAGTAAGGCTTTCTGAATGTGTAATCCTGAGCTACACTATTATGAATACCATGATTAGCACGAAGCATCAAAAATTAATTAATGTGCAAATTACAGTTTGCATGGACCTCTGGGTTGAGAATGCCACAGTAGTGGGGCGGCATAGCTCAATATTCTTCTAGAATCGTTCATTTTTGTGATAAAAGCACCAAATTGGTCAGATGTGTTGACAAATACATTTAGAACAAATCTGGATGTTGGGGCATCAGAATCTCGCCCCCTGGTGGCCAGAGCAGGCAATTGAATCCTACCTGCCCATGGACCTGTCCCGTTAATTGGATCCACTCCAAGATGTAATGGCTTCTAAGTTGGACCATGCTACATGCCTCCACCAAGTTTTGTGAAAATCGGTTGGACAGTTTTCACATAATCCTCATCCAAAAAATGAATGGAAGTGAATGGGCGGCCCGTGGACACGCCCCCTGAGTTGGATCAACACCAAAATTTAATGTATTCTAAGTTGGCATGTGCTACATCCCTGAAAATCGGTCTGGCAGTTTTTGTATAATTCTGCTATCAAACTAATAAATTGGGCGGCATAGCTAAACAATTGTTCATTTTTGCAATAAAAGCGCCAAATTTGGTTCATTCATAGCTTAATATACTGGAACAACACTTTGGTCACCCTCCCCAAGCTGCTGTTACCATGGTTTCAGCACCACAAATATAATTTAGAGACCAGTTGAAGTGAAAAATATGTTTCATTCTAATGTAGGACAATGGTAAATTAAAGACATCCAACACAATGGTGAGATTTATAGTTATTTATAAGGCCATTTAACAATGTTCAGTGAACATACTTAACAATTGACCTATGGCTAAGCCACGCCCCCTCCACTCACTCAGACAAACTATCAACATTCAGTGAGCGGCGCTATGGCAGGTGTCACAGTACACGGCATTTCACAGGAGGCAACTGATGATTTTTGGGGACATAACGATCAGATGTCATTGAGAAGTAACCAAAAGGGCCTAAACTACGCATTGGAGGGATATATTCATCATTTTATTGTTGAGAAGGTCGATGAAAAGCTTAAATTACAAGCCAAAATTTACAGGTCACAGTGTACGCTTGTGAACCGCATCTGGTTGCCGTCACCATCAAAGACAACAAGTTAAAGTGCCACTGAAGTTAAGGTTTTTGGCTCAGAATATGAGAAAAGGATAACGGCCTTTTTACCATCTTTACCAAGAGTGTCTCTCCGTTAGTTTGGTGCTACAGTATTTACACTGAATCATTCAGCATAACGTTTGCCAACCTTTGTTATCTCTGCCATTACAGATAAGTTAATGAAGCTAAGCTCCAGAAGTTAACGTTAGCTTAACTAGAGCCCTTTGGACAACAGCTAACAATGATGTACCATCACCAAAGTACAAAACTAGAACAAAATAGGCTAATGAACTCCCAGCAAACAAGGTGACATGATGAACAACGCAGCTAGGAGCTAACGTTAGGCTAACTTTAGCTAACGTTAGCTAGAGATGTTAAAGATAACTTTATATTTCTTTCCAGCAAAGTGACAATATGTTGCCTCAAACACAATGTTGACTTACCTTAGAACAGATGTAGACATCATTGTTAATCTTATTCACGTTGAGTTGATGTTGTGGTCTAACGTTACCACACAACTTTATCCAAAGGAGACACTTTTCTCGGTTGAGATGTGGTTTAAAGTGTAAAAATACACGTGGTCGCCCAGCCTCTCAGGATACCTTGTGTCAGAGTTGCATGTACCCCATGCACACCGTTTGACCATTTTTAAACTTCAAATCTCAGAAAAAGATCATAAAACCGAACAAACTGACTTTCTGTAATGCATTTCAATGGACGTCCAGGCAGAGAATGTCCCAGTGTATGGGAATGGCTATACGCACTGTGATTGGCTCATCGCATTTGAGGGCGGGGCTTAGCCATAGGTCAATTACACTGTAACTGTTTGAACATATGAACTCGTGCAGCCATCTGCAGCAATGTGGAACCTTAATAATAGAGCTGTTTTTACAACAAGGCCTCGAATATCATGAGACAAGAAGAAAAAAGGGGGAAAACCTTCATAGGTCACAGTGTCACTGTCACTACAATCAGGAGGCCATGAAGTTGGTAGTGCATGCGACTGAGGTTTAAGATGAAACGACAGCAGCAGCTCAGTGTAAGCGCTTTCTTTCTTATGGGAAAGAAAAGAAAGAAAGACAATGTGAGTTGGTAATAATTTTGTCCAGGAGGATAATCATAATTTCTGTCTAGACCTGTTGATGTTGAGCTGACGTTGTGATTCAACATCTAACTTGTACACTCTTGCTAGGTAAACTTTAACGTTGTTACTCTTAACGTTACTAGCTAACGTTGGCTGGCAAAAATATGAAGGACTTTCCAACAACGGAAAAAAGCGATTTGACACTAAATATTTAAGGTGTTTGTAAAACAACATGATTGTTCTGTTAACCCATGTAACTTGAAAACCAGTACACACCTCCAGTATCTAGGAAGGAGTTAGTCTGTCTGTGTGTTTTCCCATCAGTATTTTTCTAACTATACCTTATTCATGTCAACTGCTTTCATGTCGCGGTGAGCGTATGGTGCGCCACGACCAGCTTGAGGCAGAGCAGGCTCACGGCTTATGTGTTTGTCACTTTCTTTTTCATTAACCCACACCATGATCTTTTCCTGACCCTAACCAAGTGTTTCTTGTGCCTGAACCTAACCAGACCTTAAACACAGGGCATCATGATGACTTCGGAACAACGGGTTTAATATGGTCGGACCAATGGGATGTCGGACCAATGGGCAGTTCCCGGTCATACGTGCTATAAAACGGGTTAGGTGATATATCAAAACTCATGCTGAGCTGCCACAGACGTTATTGTCAGTGACTTGTTAAATAAATTAATCAGTCAGTTTGAAAGTGATCAGTGACATCATCGTCATTGATTGAGATATGTCAAAAAAAAGTAAAAAAGTATTTTCTTCTACATTTTTTCATGAATTAAGATGGAGATATAAAAAGAGTGACTGGTAGAAATAAACCATCACCACATCTCAGTATCATTTATAAAATATTTATTTTAGCTATTTCTGTACGTTGTGCATATAGATAAGAGTGTGTGTCATGTATTTGAATACATGCATTCATACTTTTAGATCTGTGAATATTTTTAGTGTCAGTCTTTGTAGTATTCACTGATCTGTACCTGTATCAGATTATAAGATCTGTGGTACTTTATATATTTCTGTATACTAAGAAAACACAAAGGAAACACATGTAAATCATGTGATATGGTGTCTGTTTATGATGAGAACATACATCTGTTGTTACAATAGAATAATATAAATAATATAGATTTGAAGTTAACTTTGTTGGTAAAATGACACATTCTGAACCACTTCAGGGCTAAAATGAGCTTTTCTTTATATCATTGAGCGTGGGGATCAGAGATAATGAATCAAATGCAGGCTGTAAAGCCACCAGTATACCTCTATGTATATGTAGAATGAGAAGGTGTGTGGACACTCTACTAAATAAATGAGTAAAGAGACCGAGCAACAATTATCAGATTTATCTGAAGAAAAAAACAAATAGTAATGCAAATAATTATAGCAGAATGCACAGTACCAATACAAACAGCTCACAGTAAATGATACCAATATGTACAGTATCAGTACAAACAACAGTAGACACAGTGGAATTATACCAATATGCACATGTAAACAGTCCCCATTCTAGAATAAACGCTACCGTATGGAAACCATGCGGCCGGTTGGAGCTCAAATTGAAGGTCAAGGTCAAATTTATTTATATAGCGCATTTAAAACAACCGAGGTTTGCCAAAGTGCTGTACAATCTAGAAAGCACTAAAGTATTAAAATACAACT